ATAAATATAACTAACTCTAGTGCGCATAAAAGCAAATACATACTAATCGCATACTCTTTTTTATCCACGCATAAAGGCACGAAGACAGGTGCAATAATTTATTTACAGACGTAGACAAGTACATGTGCCACATGCACGAATATAGGTGGCGCAAGCTACCGCCCATTATAAAATATACAGCGGTTAGCATCCATTCATACATCCAACACACTCATAGGATACGCAGGTGTGGAGGCAAGTGGAGATGCGGGCAAGACAATGATTAGGTGGTGGCCAACATAAACGAACAGCGGACGCGGGCGCAAATCAAAACCAGTTAGGTGATCTAGTTACGTAAACATACCTATCCAAGCGAATGGGAGGAAAAAGGAAAAGAAGTAACGCACTCATGCGAGGGATAAATTATTTAAATAAAATTCACATAAGAGATCCTTGGCCCCCAATTCTGGAAAACAAAAATCTCAGGTTGCATCATCATCCCAGTAGAATCAAATAAAAACAACAACGAATAATAACTAAATAAAGCTTAAAATATCGTGATTGTCTCCGCTTAATGTCACTCCGCATAATATGGTACACTCATCACGTTTATTGTAAAATTTCAGATACAGTGCCTGTCTCAAATATGATACATGGCGGGTATTGTCGGGCATTTGACTGAGCTTCTCTCGTATTAAGTAAATTATGAAAGGAAATGCATATACATTTATTTCTATCGACTCCCCTGTATAAAATAAGAATCGAATATGATATATCTCTTATACGCTATTTATGGTCTTTGATTAATTTTACTAAATTAACCGTAGTCCTTGTTCGCGCTTGCTAAGTTGGCCACAGAAATATATAAAACTAAAACCAAAGGCACCAGACACTTGTATCATACTATGTAGTTTTAAAAGTCCCAAGATGTTTAGATAAAATGATTTAATGGACTTTCCCGATTCACGTAAACTTAACAAACAACAAAAGGGTGTAGAGGTTTATTCAGGACACAGTACATCACTCCATCTACATGACTTGTCTCGGAAAGCTGTTTTTCTCTTGGAAAAAGGCAATAGATCCAACTGCGAAGGATTACGTCATTAAATATAATAGGTAAATGCCATTTCTATTAATTAATGTCGTTGAAGGGGATGATATGACTATAGTCAGTGACAAGTCAAGAACGAAATGGAAGCTCCTTACACCTCTTTCCACTTTAGTAGAGCGAACGCTGGAGAGGAGGCGACCTCCTCTCCACTGTTGGCTTCGCTGAAGTGGAAAGGGATGGGAGGAGCTTCCACTTCGTTCTTGACTTGTCACTGACCATAGTTATTAAATGAGTAAATAAGGGTCAGCCTTTCATGTTTTTTTTTTTTGTGTTTTGTTCGCTAAAGTTTAGGATATCGTGGAGTTGAAAGTTCACAAATAAACTTGCGTATATTTAATGTTTTTGCTTGTTTTTCTTTTATGAAGAGCAGTGACTGTTTCAATCGTCAATTCAATCATATATTTATACTATAGTAACTGAGTATTTTTGTTTACTTGTAGATACAGAAATACATAAACAGGTACGAAAAAAAAAAAGAAGAACGATGAGTATGCAGGTCGGATAATGTAAACGAATGAACCGTAAATTCAATGGAAATAAAAGTTAGAAGCCGCCGAAAGGACATCTTTGGTGGCACCGGGATTCAAACGCCGGGCCTCCTGATTCCGGTCAGGTATATGGTGATTAACATACGGTATATGGTGATTAGCATACGCTAATCAGGAGATCCGGAGTTTGAATCCCGGCGCCGCCAAAGATTTTGTCTTTCGGCGGCTTCGTAACATTGAATTTCATTCGATCAAGTACGGTACACTCATCTGCATATTTCGACTATTTCCTCTTCAGAGACCAGGCAACATGATATACAAAAAAGTGACCTGATATTATGTCCTCAATGGATACATTGGAATATAGGTGAAAAGATAGAGATATATCTTGATACAGTTATAGTTTGTAGATAGATTGTTAGATAGATGAATAAATATATAGAAATAGCTAGATATATACCTCCTTAGGGCAAAACAGAAACATCGATAATAATGTTAGAGTATAGTTATGCAAACCGATTGTTAGATACATAGTTAGATAGACAGATAAATATAGAGATTGATAGTTATATATATATACATTGTTAGAAAAATGGATGTACGCATATCTCCATTGAGTGATAGCTATATGTAAATAGATTGTGGAACACGTAACTAGAAATGCAAATGAATTAATATAAATATGGACAGTTAGGTACATACATTGTGACATAAATAAACGAATAGATGTGTACATCAAGCGATTTACCGAAGAAAAACAGATATTAACGGAGTGGTTTAGAATATGGCTGCCTGACGGATATGGCGTTCTGCACTATACGTTCTTTTTTTAGGCTGCACTCTGTTGTAATTGCATATATGTTTTTCTTTAAATATTTATTATCCGGTAAAAAAACGCTCAAGTTTCAGTCGTCACCGGGAACTAGCGCGTCCCCAGTTATCCGGGACTGGCCGTTGCCATGGCGACGTTTCAGGGCATCGCCCAATCAGGGGGCTGACTCCGCGACCGAGACTCCGAACGCTCGGCGGTCGCAGCGCAAACGGCGCACACACGCCGGCACGGAGTGCCAAGATGTAAGAGAGGAACCAACTCAAATCATGGGTGGGCGTTTGCAATTTAATGGTGGACGCAATCCAGAGGAAATCAGTCGCAAGCACAGCGTCGTCGCGTGGAGAGCGGGTGTATAGCGGCGGGGACGTTTTTGCAGACGGTGAACGTTTTCGTCGCGGCCCGAAATACACATGACCCCAACCGCCGCAACCAGTCGGAAACTCTCTGTAATCTGGGCACACTTCGCCGGTACAAAAGAGAAACGCCACCGAAAGAAACGGGTCAGCGTCGGAGAATAACAAAACAAACCAAAACATTCCCGGGCCTGCCTGTTTGCAGTATCGCTCTGAGAGCGCGTTCGCGAAGCGGTGGTCCTAGTTTTCCTCCTATATGTGTTCGAGCTGTGATTGTTCGCTCGACGTGTAAACTCCCCCGCGGTGTCATCTTGTTCGACGCGTCCACGGGCCGTAGACTTGGATTCTGTTCGGTAAGGTCGTTCTTGTTCCTTCGTTTTATGCCCCGTTTCGCGGGCATTTAATAGGCCTTCTGATACGAACTGCTTCAGAAGGTTGGCGGACCAGCGCGTGCCAACGGATATGGACAAAGAGTCCAGATCGCCAGCTGGTTTGCAGATTCTTTAGAGAAGTTCATTTTGAAGGTCTTTTATGTGACCGTAAAACAGGAGTAAAAGATTGAGGTCATATATTTTTTTTTTTAGTTGGAATATTCTTTGCTGGGAACCCGCAGCAAAATTGTGGCCGCGTTTTTGGTTTTTGTTTTGACGTGCTCGAGATTTTTATCGATCAAGGATCGGCGGAAAGGAGGTCAGCTGTATTGGATTAGATGTAAAATAAATGAATAACTCGGAAAAATGTGGAAACTTAGTTCAAATGAAAAGTACGTGTTTCGATCTCATTTTTTTTTCTCCTTAAGATGAATGATCTAATCTTGTTACTTACACATTTCACAATTTGTAGTCGCGCATCGCACAATGAATAGAAGCAGAAACAGACTGGGTTATAAATGTATACCTGTATCGTAATTTTTAGAGCGAAATAGTAAGTTTCAGGCGTTGTTAAGATATTGGTAAATGATGAAAACATGCGTGAAAAATGGTATTGAATGTGGTTCTGACCCAATTCTTGTCGCTTTGCGTTCTACGGCAATGAATAGCGGCACCGCTTTTGAATTAAATATTTATTTTTCCTAAACTGTTCCCTAGTTATTTTCCTATACTGAATATGAAGCTTGTCTTTTTTTAGCAACAGTTACACAATTCCAGTCTCGTGCATGTTATTCGAAGAAAAAAAATCGATTACAATTACAACTACGGTTGCTCAAGAGTATTTAGTTAGATTACTAGATTACTTGAGTAGAAATGTAATTGGCTGTTACTTGAAAAATTAACCGTTCCTTTTCCAATTAATTCACATTTTTAAATACTACAGATTCCTCTGCCGGTTTGGAAACATGTCTATTGTACCGTCCATCATTAATCAGATCACACATGCGATTACTTCCATATAAAATGTATTGAAATGATTACAAAGTCTAAAAAAAAATGTTTGATCGTAAGTAATTTGATAACTTGTAAAGAGTGCCGTACAAGTCTGCAGAATTCTCAAAGAAACCCTACAATTTTTTAGACCAAATTTGTGCCTTCTTGAAGTAAAAGCAAAAAAATGAAAGCTGTTTACAACTCCCAGTAACGCCGGATTAGAGCGCAGCTCTTAAGGAGGAGGATGGAAGGGTACGGAGGGATAGGCGACTCCCTGAGTTCACGTGACCTCGGGGGGGGGGGGGGGGGGGGGTCACATGACCTGTGGTGGGTCACGTGACCTTACGGTTACGCCGACGCCGCTCAAGCCGGAAGCGGGCGCCTAAGAGCTGCGCTCTAAAAAGCAGCTAGCTGAGCTGGTGCAAGTTGCCCCGCTTGACATCCGTCGTCCCCGGTTTTAATTGTGTGCTGTCACTGTTGCTGTCACTAATTTATTGCACTTTTTTCCACGTTAAGAGCCGTCCTTTTTATCTTGAAATGTTGCCACATTATAAGGTTGATCAGGCCATTGGCAATGAGATTGAACTCAGGAACCACGCCTCAGGTTCCTTAAAAGTCTCGCTACTTAAGCTATAACTGAACTAACGAGTCATGTTTGAACTGTTTTCGGTACATTCGACTATATTTGTATTCCCCTCAAAAATTACATTGAAAAAAGTCCAGCTCCTCGTGGTGCATCCCTAATTTACCTCTTTATTTGATGAATAGAGGTTATAGAGGTGCATTTTAGATTAGCTACGTTCCATCACGCTACAACCAAATATTTTAGGAACTATACTTAGCGCAGCGCATAAACGATGCGCCAAACTTGCTTTATTCTTGATTTTACGAGTATACATACGTCTTACAAAGAACTCCGTGTGGTATTTACTGCTTACAGGAAATGATGGACCTCATCTGCGCGCTGCTCAGCGCCGTGCTCACCACGACGACGTTGTCATTCGCCTACCCTAGCCCCGTCTACGGCCGCCTCCAGAGGAACGCCGTGCAGTACCCGGCGCAGTCCCAGTACCCCTACCTGGACGCCAACAACTACTACGCGGCGCTCAAGAACGCCGCGTTCGACCAGGCCGACTGGGCGCAGTTCCTACCCGCACCCGCCGGCTGGGCCGCCAGCGACGCCTACCCTGACATAGCGGCACCGCAGGGAACCCCGGACGAAGAATACCCCGAAGAGTACGACGCCACGGGCGCCGATCTTGGTGCCGCCGCCGCCGCGCTCGGGTACGGTTGGTACGGACCTCCGAGTCAACCCCAGGACATCAAGGAAGCCGCCGTCTTCAAGGACCTGCTCGCCAACTATATCACTAAGAAATCTGAACGCAATCCGGAGGCTCTGAGGCGAATGAAAGCAATGAGGAAGTTCGGCCAGCCGGCGGTCTTCTCGTCGGCTGTATCGACGACCGTTAGGCCTAACGTGGCGGCCGCTGCGGGGATGCAGACGGCGGACGTGACGTCGACGACGCCGGCGTCCACTCCGACGACGCCTGCGGTAGAGAAGAGCCAGGGATTGGATGGGCAAAAGGAGTTTGCCATGTTCAGACCCGTTGGACCATCTGAGAACAGGAAGCCAAGCTTTTGGTCCATAGGGCTGCGGCAGACGACGAATGGCCAGAGAGCTGAGGTGAGTCTCCTGGATTTGTAAAAAAAAAACAAAAAAACAAAAAAAAAAACGTTATCAAAACTTTATCGAGACCATGCCGGAGACTAGAATAATGACATGTCATAGCTATCATTATGTAATTATCATTTCAGTCTTATCATATTAAAGTATTATCTTGTTAGTCTTGTCATATCAAAGTCTTATTACATAAGGGTCTACGGTTAAATTGAATTCTTAATGGGGAGTTTTAGCAAGTCGTTTCCACACGAACGGTTCGCCGTCCAACGCATCGGCGACGCCACTGCGCATGCGCGCGTGAGTCGTTCATGGCATCGGGAGGCTCTTCTCGTTGTTTTCTCCCACTCCGGCCGCTGGAGTCGTCACCTCAACGCAGCCAGCACTGTTCACGACTCGGGTAAAAAAAAAAGATGGCGGTCGATTTGACGACTGACTTCGCCGACTCAGCCGAGCGTTAGGCTTAGGACAGCGGGAGGCGATTTGCCATCCTGTTGGTCTGCTTCATTTGAGAGGTCGAACCAAATAATTTAGGGGACTTTTCATAATGGTAAGAGATCGTGAATGCTGTAAACTGCGCATCTAGGAAACTTTTGCGATTTGCGGGCAAACTAGCTGCCGTGGCGACCGCGAGCAGACGAAATGATTTGGTTCGACGGCACACAACGTGAACGATCGTTCAAGTTCAAGATGACGGAGACACACCACATACCTTTACGGTCGTTCAGATACTTTTTACTCTATCTAGCTTCGCAGTTCTTGAAATTCCGACCTGCAAATGTTACGTCCGCCGTCTGTTTACATCAGTCGTACGCGGGAGGAAACACGAGCCGCCACGGACTTACACGCAGCAGAATGTTTCACGTGTTTACTAGAAGATGGCGCCACGGTCAAAGACAATCATCATCATCGTTTACAACGTTGCGCCAGTTTCAAGATTCGCTAACATAAGTCAAATTTCACGTACAGTTTCACGGAATGGACCAGCTGCACCGTTCGTGATTTCAGAATGGTGCGGTGAACTCCCTAATAGTTTTTCTTTTGCTATTGGGTTCTTGCGTGCGTCGATGCTATTTGGAGTTTCATACTGGTTACGTTTTGAACATGTAACTACACTGAGAGTCCTTCTCGCACTGATACTACATCGAGTTTCACTGGCAGCATTAATAATTGGTTTTTAATGCGAATGCATTAACTGTCTCATGAAGCGAGCTGACGTCATCAGTTTGAAGCGCGAAAACGGCTCCTAGTTTCCGCGATCGCCTTCGGTTCCATTGGCTAGCGCGTTGATGGGGCTCCCATTGGCCGCTGCGGCATGGCCTCCAAGATCCCGGAGCGCGCGCGCTAGTACGTAGCAGACGACAATTGGACCGGACGAGCAGACGACAAAGGAAGCGGACGAGCGGTTTGCATGTTTTTCGCATTCACAACTCATAAGAAATGCTTAGGTGTACCTCGAGCTTTTTTATTTATATAGCTTATTAGGTACTAAAAATGAATGGATTAGCGCTTCATAACCATGTGTCAGTTGTAAGACGAAGTCTAACCGTTATGGTTATAAAATTGCATGTCCTGAGTTGAAGCAGGCGAAACTTCTATCCTCGGTCATTCAGTTCAGTTACTTCCGATGTCACACTTATTGCTGCCATTAAAAATGTCAGTATGTTTCTCAGTTATTAGTAATGTAATACTATGGCACCTTAAACGAGCGAGATGTTTTATTTTTCTACACTGACAGTGGTAAATACCCCCTCCCCACAGAAAATGGCGCCTTACACGACCACGTAGCGTCTTGGAACAAACAAAAGATATCTCCATTTTTGCACATTGATTGGTTAAAAAAAAAAAAAGAACGTATTGAAATTTGCCACAAGACATCCATAAAAAAAAAAGAACATTCCGCGAAAGGGCTCCATTCCAAGAAGGGGTTCAACGCAGTCGGGTAAGAGCCAAATAGGTTTCGGATAAATATGCTAAAATAATTCACCTTAGACCTCTCTTCCAGTGTCTGCAAAATCAGCAAATAGACTTTTTTTTTGGCTGAGTAAAAATACTCTCACGGAAGTAGCAATTTTAAATTCGGATACATAAGAAATCAAACAAAACGATCGTAGTAACTTGCGTCGTCATTGTGCGCTTTCGGAAAAAAGGGCGAAAGGGTTATTATTAAAAAAAATATATATTTTCCAGACAAAATTTGTTGTGATCTATTGAGATGAGATTTCGCGAAAGGGTTCTAATTTAATAAAAACTATTGATTTATTAAGAAGGAAAATCGAGAGATTTACCAAGTTTTTTTTTTCAACTTCGGTTGATTCTAAGATTAGCATAAAAAGCGTACATCGGAAATTTCATAGACGCGCGCCATTTAATGATCCCAGGAGGTTGTCAACCCAAATCAGCATGCGGAAAAAAAAATTTTCAAACCAATGCATCCAGCCAAATGCTTCAGGGTTAACTAAACTTTTATTCAAACACCTGCCGGTGTATTTCAATAGAAACTGGCAGTTTGCCACCAGGCAGCACATACAAACTATTTTCTAGAGTCAGCGCGCCGCTTTTAACAATCATCTCGGCAGACTAATGACCTAAAACATAAATTTAGGCAAATCCTAACTATACTTCGTTTCATTCTACGATGGCCTAAAGGCCAAAACTACGGACCGCCAGATCCAATCACGGGCCAGTTGGAAATTGTGTGGTATTCCGCTTCCAAGCAAGTGTCGGTGCTTGCGTCTCGAACCACTGATGGGGATGGGCGGACAGGGGTTCGAGTCTAACAGCACTGAGTGACCCCTAAATCTTACATCCCAAAGAAAGCCACGACATACAGGCTCCTTGCAGTGTCGACGCCATAGAATAAATGCGGCGCTTTATGAATCAGTGCATTATTGTTCCATCCCTAATCAATGTTAAGCATGTCAGTGTTGAGCGTAGAACGTGATTGAAACTGTCAACCCGTGGCTTTAGCCTATAGTCTTTCGTAGGATATAACAAGGTATAGCTACACCATGGTGCTGAGGTTTCAGTCTGATTTCGCTGACCCACAAAATCCAAGAAAGAAAAAAAGTAAAAAAAAAAAGGGTCTTATGTTAGAAATACAGTGAAGCCGCTATTGGTTTCACTTTTTCATTGACGAGTTTTACCTTTTTGTTATTAAAAAAAAAACTTTAATATAAAATTAAAAACAAAAAATCATCCCTGCGCGAAAAAAGAGTGGTTGGTTATCGTGACCCCTTACCCCTGAAATACATTACGGCGATTTCAATTAAGCTTTTAAGAAGGCGGCATGCATGGAATAGAAACAACGTGATTATGAAATGAAATGAAATCTTTATTTCCAGACATTTACTCATGCGGGCCTCCAGACAAAAAGCTACCATATGGTAACTTTACTGGGTCTGGGGCCCTAAAGCAAAACAAACATAGCAATCTAGCCGAAAAGTGTTATACATTGAAAAGACTCGTTATACAGCATATAGAGTTTCTCTTACCAACTAGGCATGTACTTAAGTAACAATAAACAGAGTAAACCAGTGAGAGCGTAGGAGCGTTCGGCAGCAAGCATATTATGCAAAAGCGAGAAAAAAAATGTCATACAGAGACATCCGTGTTAGATAAAACACTGATACAATTAAGCTCTAGCCAGAGACTATATATCTATGTTTTCTAGATGGTACCTATTGAGTAGAGAAGGTAACATATGGCGAAGGGATTGTAATAAAATACATTATACTCAACGCAAAGCTATCTTAACATTTTTAGCGATGTATATTGCAAAAAAAAAAAAAAAAAAGATAAAGCAGGATATCTGAGATCCCTTTATGGAAACCACAAAGCTTAAGAGACAGGATGTAGTTTTCAACTCGAGTGAATTTCGGCGTAAATATAGCACAGCTTTTAAGCTATGTTTTTTATTGAACCAATATATATGGTAAACCAGAAAGAGCAGGATGCGAATATTCACACGTTTTTTTTTATACACTGAGATATGTAAAAGCTCCTCCTGTACGGCGGTGTGAGGTAAATACGTAAAAGTAAACGACGCGACGTGTTAATGTCGGCTTTCCCACATTATTACCCTTAGCGCGGAGAAACGACCTTTCCGTGAGCACTTGCAAATATTTTTGTTCTTCTTTTCTGCAAATTAGGTTAATTTAGGTTAGGTCGGAAAATTACGCTTCAGAGCAAGTAATCTAATAACGTACACGATTCCCATATAACTTCAGCTAACACTACCGAAAATACAAGTAAACCGTGGGCATATGAAAACAAAATATAGACCTAAATGTGCGAAACCAAGGAACAAAATTGAAATATTACGAGGCGACTACCCCTTTATAAATTTTATATGACTCAGCTAAATGGTTCTGATACAATCTGCCCTCCAGACACACTTAATCGCGAGCCGAATCCGATTTAAATCGAAAATACAATTACAAAACGCCAGTTACATCATTTCTATTTCAAGGTAGATGTTGTATCATCAGTCCTCAAAAAAGAAACACGCGTCAGACTGTAATTCCGAGGGAAAAAAAGAATGAAAAGAAAGAAAGTAAACAAGATGAAAGAAAAAAGCAAAATCGCCGCCGGATTGACGCCACTGCAGCACTCCAAATCTAGCAAACGAACCCTCCGTCCACGACGCCATCGCCGCGGTTCGTGCGTCACTCACCCACGTCACGCCGCGTTCGTCCAATCAGAGCGGAGCTCCATTCATGGTTTCCCCTTTCTCTCCCCTCTTTCTCTATTTTACTCCAGTGTGCGTGGGTTCGCGAACAAGCGTCGCATTGAATGAAGGTAGAGGGTCCAGGCTTTTTTTCGTTTTTTCGCTACGAAGTTTAGGGAAAAAGAAGCATATTTTCTCTTTGTCTGTTGCGTGCCTTTTGCCATAAATCTCAACGAGGGCGAGAGCAGCGTCGGTGCAAGTATAAATAAAACAAATAACACAACAAAATAAAGGAGGAGAAGGAGAAGACAGAGAGAGAGAGAGAGAGGGAAGGGTCCTGTCTCCCGAAATATCGAAT